ATTGTTTTTAAGCGGTCAAATGATGATTTCCTTTTTTAGCTCGTATGTTTCAAGGAGACCTACTTTTTTATTATTTTGTGTTAGATTCAATATCACAGGGACTACGAGCTATCAAGGGGTCGACAGGCGCCTTTTCCCGAGGGTCAAATGCCCTTTGAACATGGTGTAAGTAGTAGATTGTCTTCTTGGAGAAATTGTGGTGGCTTAAGTTAATTTGTGAGACCTTAAGATGTTTCTTCGAGTACAGGCAAAAAGGTGAGGAGACATTTATTTTGTACTTGATGGAGTTCATTTTGGACCCATAAATCAGAACATTATGGTATTCGCATGACCAACGTTGGAGCATATTTTACGTCGGACTGAAACTTTAATTGATAGTTGAGGTTAGATATTTGTAAAGAAATCATATTGGCTTTATTCTCCGAAATCTCTTTGTACAGAACGAAGTCAGCAGAGCGGTTGAGGCGCCACAACTGCAGCAGCAGCAACAGCAGCAAAATTACAATCAACCAAGTACAGGTTAGCAAGGAGTCGCTTTTTCATTTTCTTTGCTCTCCTCCTTCCACTGTCCTTTTACTTCGCTTTATTCCCTTTCGCACGTTGAACTTTTTCTCTCCCTCTCCTCCGGTTCCCTTCATGTTTTCTTTCAAGCATGAAGCGAAAACTGTCGACACCATTGCAACGTCAAATAGTCTCTTCCGTCACATTAGGACACAATTGCAATTTTCGAGACGTACTAAGAAGTCCACTAAAGTTTTATGCCATTGATGGAGTTACTCATCTCTCTACAATTGTTCGAGCTTTGTGCCACATTTCAATTATGTGTGAGTTCCCATTTTGATCAGTGAATCGGCAGTGCTGCCAAGCTTTTAAGCCGCAATAGATCGAAGCAAGGTGTTGCCCGAAGATGCTGCATTTAGCACGGATTTGCAAGCAAAGCCATTAGTACATCCACACCCTGTCATCAGGTGGTTGCCATAAATGTCACTAAATTGGGCTCTTTCCATGACTCTCACCAAAAGCTGTCATCGGGGCCAAAAGGCGTCATCAGGGGCGATGGCGATGCGCACGAAAAAAGAGAGTATTGAGGCATTCGCACTTCATACGCTTCAATTGCTGCTTCACACCTAAAAGTGAGATCCAACGTCATTGAGCCGCATGCACAGCGTCGATACTGCGCGTCGAGGAGGTGCTCTAACTTGTAGAAAAGGCGGTTAATTTCATCAGCATGGTCAAATGCTAAAAAATTCTCTCATGCAACTTTACTGCCAAACCAAAAAAAATAGTGCCTTTAAGGGGATAAAATTCCTTCGTAAGTAATTGTGAAGGGTAGGAGATTTCAACGGATAAATTAATAAGGCGATCTAGATGTTAAAGAAAGTTCTGCTGCCTCCGCTCCAGCTTGTAATGCTTGTGTTTGGAAGAATACGCGCCACACAACACGTCACAGGTACTTCGCGTTCTTGATTTTTGCAAACTCTAAGTCAAGCCAAGCCTAGCACTTTTATACAAAAAGATAAGAATGCGAACTACCTTTAAACGTCTCTGTAGTCTGTCTACATTCCTTTTATAAATTTTCAAGTCTCTTTGAATGCTCACATATGAACGTGTTTCTTTGAGTCCTGGTGTTAACCAGCTATTCCTTCATGTGCTTACGTCTTAGGATGGCCAATTTGCTTAAGGAATAGCAACTTTTGCCACATAAAGTTTTGCTTTTCGAAGAAGCATACGAGTGGTCAAGTGAAAGCTCGTCCTCAAAGGTGGTGAATGGCATATCCATGCTATAATACTCGAGTCGATCTTTTGAGTTGGAACAGGGCTTTAGTGATGTGAAAAGTTCAACGTAGGCTCACAGGAGGGCTGAAGGGTCGCGGACATGGTTCAGGCGCCGTGGCACCTAAGTGATTATTTAAAAGAGGAATATTGGAAGGATCGTACAGTTAAATGCGCCGCTAGTGTTTGCAGTATGTATTTTTGAATTGCACTATGATGTATAGGAAGGATTGGTTTTGAAGCACTCCAAAGGGCATTTTGCGTTTCAGGTTGTGGAGAGAGATACATTTACAGTTGTGGTAGGGATGTCTTGAAATTCAAGTTTAGTTGCAAAACAATTCCACTTAAACACTACAAACACATTTACTTGACAGATGGACAAGTGAAACGAAGTTCCTTGAACCCGGAGTCTTATTCCTTCCCTCAACCACCGATGAACACCACAAATGGCAACACTCAAGGCAGTTACGCTAATGCCAACACTCGAGTAGGATCAGGTGAGTGATACTGATTCTTTTGTTTCCCTTTTCAGTCACTTATTGTTTGTAAGCGGTTTCCTTCTCCCCGCGCTTATTTAGCAAAAGCACGTGAATTCAAGCGCACACCATTTTCTCTCGCCAGGTTACAGAATTTCTGCATTATCACAGCCACCGTGCTACTGAAAGAGGGGAACCTAATGCTAATGTTCTAGCCGATGCTGTCATCAGGAATACCTAAAATTAATTGTCCCATCAAATCGCATTACGAACAGATCAAAACATTAGCAAGAAGAGATTGTAAGTGGTTTCTGGTGTAGCAGTGTTTCCATCTCAAGTCTGCTCGGCAGTGTCGGCGCTATGATGATGCAACTAGAAATAAGGAAAGGGATTTTCCCTTAACTGAGTCTGATTGCAAAATAATCTTCAACCAATCAGTCACCTAGCTGTGTCGACCCCATATTTTTTTCCAAGAGTTGTCTAAAAGGGCAACAGAATAGATGGTGACTAAGTGAGCTATTAACTCAACACAACGCGGCGCCGCATTTCTATTGAACCGACAAATTCCAAGTAGTCTCAACAATCATGAAACAGGGCCACTGATCAGAAAGCCTTATGTGAAAGTTAGGTGGTAGCATTCACCTCGAAGTCATAACTCAACACTTATTTCTTGCCAAGCTCTCTAATTGGCGCCCGGTTAGTGGTGTGTGTGTGTGTGTGCAGAAGTGTGGGCTCGTGAGCTGGCTGGGTGCTTGCATGGGCTTCTTGTGTCGCGATTCCCTAGACATGCTCGATAGGTATTCTCATAACTCTTCTTCACATTTCAGCTCCGAAAAATGATTACATGGAAAGAAATGGGGAAAAGTGAGTTGCCCTCGAACTATGAACAACAAACCAACTTAAACATTTTGCCAATGTTAATCAGGCATTTAGCGATTTGTCAAGTGGTTCTATGAGCCGCTCTTGAATTAACACACTTTATTTGAAAAGGAAAAGTTGAACAAGTATTATTTACCAAGAGAGTGAAAAGCCAAAATCGTGAATTTATATTTCCATGTTTAACAACTCTAAAACATCGTGCGTATTGGTAAAGAGGTTTACTCAACTCCAGTTAATGGGGCCAGCGTCCTGCGGCAATTCAGATCACCTACACTGCCATCCTCGTAGAGGTTAAATGCGTTTCAATCATGGGGACAATTAGTGCATCAATTACAGCGTAAGGCAGACAACATCTTTAGGTAACGAGCCAAGTTGGAAGATACACAGACTTGTACATCAGTGAGAAGCGTATAAAGTGCAGCCGTTCGGTGATTCTCCTTTTGCTTCGCATTCTTCACTTTTACAAGCAGTACTTTTTCATACGAAAGATGGGAATGAGAACCACTGGCGTTTATATTAGCCTACTCATAATCCTCTCATAAACCTACAAGGCTTACACATGAACGATACTTCCATTTACCAACCATATGACTGACACATCCATGGTTTGATAACATAGACCAGCTATATTTGGCTTAGGAGTTCCATCAATCCATTTTTGAATGTCTTCCCTTTTGATTTGCTCCACAGAGTTGAGGAAGAGAGTGATGCTGTTCCAATTTATCGACCTGATCTGGTAATGATGGGTGGTATGAAGGTGACTGGCAGCGGAATGGTAAGCATCATTTACTTGCTTTTGTTTCATTATCACATTATCCCACATTGTTGAGCTCATACTTGCTGAACCCCAATGCAGCACTTCCAAGCCGTCTACAGTTATGAGGCTGCCGAAGATGACGAAGTGAGTTTTGTGGAGGGCGATGAGATCCTTCACGGTGAACCGATCGATGAGGGCTGGATGTTCGGCACAGTCCGACGAACCGGTCGTTTCGGCATGTTACCGTCCAATTATGTTGTACCCATCCAAAATCCCAACTATAATCCCTGAAAAAAACTTGAACAGTCATTGTGTTGACGTCTCCTTCCATTGTAGAAGCCTTCCCCCGTCATAGAAAACTGCACATTTTAGTGTACGACTTACTTCCAATGTTTCACTTCCTCCCTTCTTAATTGCTTTATCTCGCATCACGCACCGAACAATGCAATACTTTTACTTATTAATTTGGTATATTGGAATAAATTGTGATCTTGGTTGGTATTGCCTTAGTTGAGGGAGGGTTGGACTCCTCTGGAAGAGGTTTCTGCTCTCATGTAGCCGATTGGCACTCAAAATATGGTATCAAGCATGAGCTGACGTATGATTTCCAATAATTCATTAGATTGCTGTTCCATTCACAATCCTCCCTGAACTTACAGATCAACTAGAATAGTGCATTCATTTGATCTAGATAAGGTCAGCTGAAAGTTGCCATTGTCGCGATCACCTGAATTATTCTGGTATATAGGCAGGGTGTGAGTGACTCACCCCTAGGATCATCCAACCTCTTTACATCATTTCTCAGATGTGTTTTACTATCACACCTGCAAACGCAATGCGAGGAACCTGTGAAGAAAGCAGTTCCACTACTTCGGTCTCAGAATGGAGTTGTTAACAGAATTGTGTGCATAAACAAATCCGACATCAAATTAAATTAGTTTCAATTGCCTAAGGTGTACGATAAAGTTATCTCTCCTTGTCCTGCCCTACCCGTTAATCCAGTTATCTACGTTATGTGTGGTTAGCCACTTCAAAGTGATAAATTTAATGGGACCAAAGTTACTAACTTTCGCACACATTCTTCAATAAAAACAACTGAGAACTCCAATGCGAACTGCGGCGATAAGCCAGAGCCAAATAAAAATAACACAGAAGTATCAGTGATGGTGGCATTTATTCCACCAAAAATTCCTCTTTGAGGCCTAGGCTCAAGGATTAGGCCAAAGGATATACAAAAATGATGCTTTACTGAGGATAGTCAGCTTTACAAATTCAACAATTCAGTATGGAACGCTGGATTGGCAATCGGTCGACGAAACCCTAAATAGTACAATAAAAAAATTGAAAAATTACCAATGCAACGGAGACGATGTGAAAATCATGAAGTATGGGAGTTCGCGTAGCCAGAGGAAAGGCGAATACAGTTTAGCCAAATTAGCAGATTTCGTTAATTCGAATATATTAATTTACTTAAATAAAACAAGTAGAATTGTTATCAAAAGGTCACCCAAGAAACAAGCATATTCTACTAACTTTTAAATTGTCCAATTTACAAGAATAACTTTCAAGCACCACAATGTACCTCATATAAATGCACTGCAACTGAAAATGCTACATTGTAAGCAGTGGAATACTGGCTAAATGAAATCATTTCAAGTTCCTGCAGCAGTGAAAGTAGCGTTAAGGCCATGCTGCATCCCATACAGCGACGGATGACAATCCAAATCTCCTGTGTCTTCGCCCACTTCCTCGGAAGCACCCCCCGTGAGCAGTTGGTCAACTGTTTGGGGACCAAGAAGGGCCGTTGCAACCTCCACAGAGTCCAGTCGCGTGGTCTGCAGACGATAGAGACCGTCCTCAGGGCAGAGAACATAATTGAAACGAAAATGGCCCGAGGGACGCTGATGATTGTGTTTACTAATGAGGTGACGTGAAAGCAGGAAGCCTAGCAAATAATGAGAAATTAAATTTAGCCTTGCTCCAGAAGGAAGTGAAATTTGCAAGGGGTGAGAGATAAAGCATCATTAACGCCTGCTTACCTTTCGTGGTTCTCATAGGGCAGAGATGGCAGGCGTAGTTACCCTGTGGTTCCTCCGGAGGATGTTTTCTGGTCATGTGGACACAGAGACCGGGTCGTGTAGTGGAGTAAAACTTACAGCCCTCTACAGAGCATCGAAAGACGGTCGCCTTGACCAATCCGGTAGCATTGAAAGTGGAGGTCTGGAGGGGAAAGAGATGACCTTCACCGAGACTGGAAGACCCAGTAACGGCTAGTGGACCGACTGGAGTGACCGTGGTAGAACGTTGTGGCTCAAGGCCTAAAAATTGTAAACCAAAAGTAGAAGACGAAATCTATCTTGATTCGCATGCTTGATGGATGCGTGGCTCAGCACACTTCCAATAGTATATATGAAGAGCACGAAAGATACCGATAAGTGAAAATGGTCACTGAATGTCAGTGACCTCGAAAGAAGGATATAGACTTAAATGCTCACAAAGTAGTATTTTGGAGATGAAAAGAGGACTCAGAGAGTCAGGCATGTGGACGGCAAAACTTACCAGAACGTTGGCATTCCACACCCGAGCCAGGCTTGAAAGAATAGGACTGATGATGACATCGCGAGATGTGCAAGTCCAAGGAATGCACACCCTTGATAGTTGCCGAGCAGTGAGGACAGGACACAGTAGCCTTGTCCGTGTGACGAAAAAGCATGTGACGTTTGACAGCTATAATCCGACAAAGAGTTGATTTTATTTTTGAAACGATGAGGCTACATGGTTGTTTTTTATGGTGAGGGTACAAAGTACATACCAGTCTCCAAAATGATTAACTGGTCTTTGCTACCTGATCAAAGCAGCCATTTTCCAATAAAATAGGGGTCTTGAAGACAAGCTCTTAAACCCATCGTCAAAACAATGAAATGAAAGGATGACAGGTTTCTTCTGTGAGAGGAGTAAATTGCTGTCATCACGAACTCGTCTATCATTTTTGAATGGCATAGTTATCTCAACACTAGTTCGCATTACATGACCTCAACTCAGAGCATGGACTATCAAAAACACCGAAAAGTACTCAAACTATGCACTACTCTAAAACTAGAGATCAACAGCTTTACACTTGGTTTGGCCAATTCGAAAACCGAAAATTGAGAATAGATGGCATGCTAGATTACTAATTAAGTTATAATTACACACTTGTTTCATGACAAGCTTCCCGAAAAGAGCCATTCAAGGTCATTTACACGAACGGTCACAATCACCTACCACTCTTGCTGTGCAAAGTCAAGTTGCACAGGGGACAGATGTGCTTATTGATGTGTCGGTTGGCGTGTGCCTGCAGAAGTGATTTGTTACCAAAGCAGCGTAAGCAGTAAGTACACTGATAAGTATTGATAGCGGTTGAGGAGGTGGGGTCCTCGATCTACCAAAATGAGGAGTGATTAGACGAGTGAACTACCTGGTGTTGACGAACAAGATGATCCCGAAGTTTAGTGCGTGCCGTGAAGAGGAGACCGCATTGAGGACAAGCAACAACCTTTTCTTGAGTATGCGAGCGCAGGTGCGCAACGAGGTTGGTAAGGCGTGAACATGTGAAGGAGCAACTATCCCAAAGACAGGCGTGCTGTTGAACTTTATTACCATCATCCCCATTCAAGTTATCCGCCTGTTGGAGATGGAGTTAAATATCAATCGTTGCATGGGTGTCATATTCCTACGCCATCCGCAAACTATCACAAGGGTCTTTATGTATTCGCTAATTTCTCAAATCGATTATCCCTCAAATATCCATTATCCTGCTTCTAACCTAGTTCCTTTTGAAAATCGTCTGACAAAGGATGCTTGTAGAACCCCACTGATATAAATAGGAGTTTATAAATCTAAGGCAGGTCCCTTAGTGACGAAGGTTTCTCATTTTGCTTGCCGCACAACAGTAAGGGAAGGCTTAAATAGCAAGCGATGCCAGTAATAGCTGAGCAATAAATAAACCACGTACAGAACGTCCCCATTCTCGCTAACGATGAGAGCGCAAGACAATACAATGTTGACAAGATGCAATGGCCATACGAAACTACTTTACCTCCAGAGCAAATCCGAGGGCAAGCCAAGGGATCTCGCCCAAAATGCCCTAACAGACTACCGAGGTTGCTAGGATACGATATTTTAGATTAGTGATTGACTAATTCATAAAAAACTTAGGTACGGTTGGATGCTTCCGAAATGTCAGCAAAATGCCCATTCCATATAATACTTTGCATTCAAATAAATTGGCCAGCGAACTCAACAAAACACAAGTCGATACGAATGGCAGATGAGGTGGACAACAATATTTAGTTAGGTTTAAGAGAAAAACGCAAGAAAGAATAGATACTAACTTAATAGTGCAAGGCTGACGGACTTCGAAAGTAGACGGAAAAAGAAGAAAGTGGCCTTAGACCCATTTCACTACCGAAATCAAACTAAAAAGCATTTGCCCAAAGACCAAGGTTTTCAAAATGAGGAAAAAAACTATTCCGCCTTGACAAAAGAAACATGAATAATGTACCTGAGGATGCTTTGAGACATGTGAGTAGAGACTGGCAACGTCATTTGTTTGGAAGCTGCAATTGTTCCAGGCACAGCAAAAAGGCGTAGGAAAATCAGGAATAGAACTGAAGTCCTCGGGGAGCTTACAAGATGGCAATTTTTCGGAGGTTTGATAAAAACTACCTCTGGCATTCAGAAACACCAACCAGGCATGGAAATAGATGTGTCTGTAGGCACTTTCGTCCCGACCCAATGGATTGCCACAAACTCCACAGGTGATATTCGAGGACGAACTCCATTCCACCTACAGAGCCATTGCCTTTAAGGGTTGGATTTCAGTATGACGTAAACTGGAGACGGTTACGGGAGAAAAAGGTTTAGGAAGCATAATTCAAAGTCCGAAACAAGCTACCTGCAAATGGTCTAGAAGATGCCGGCAAAAATCTGAGTAGATATCAAGAACGACTTCGCAGTGGAGCCACTGGCAGGACAATGCAACACCAGCTTGTACCATTGCCGTAAACCAGAGCTCCTATGGAGATGACTAGCCAATGCAAATACTCCGCCCTTTTATGGCCAATAGCTCATAAAATAATCGTTTAATAAAACAATTTTATTAATTGTACATTAGATTTAAAAATGCGATTTTCATATTGCTGTAGTAATATGCTGGTGCACATTTACAATTTATGTGTCTGACTGAGCCGATTAGGGCGGCAAATTTGATGCGTAATACGGCCCGCTTGGCAGCTCCTGCTGTGGGTTTTCCGGCTCCAGGGATGTATACATCACCGAATACAAATGTTCCATCATCACTACATAATGTTGCTTCAAATTCACGCCTGACGATCAACTTCAACCCTGCAGAATTGCTTTCTGGTCCAAGTTTGATTCCTCCACCCATGGCCTCTAGCACTGCAATTTCTGGTGACCAACTCCCAAAAAAAGATCAGGAGAATTTACATGTAAATACAACTTCAGACATTGTGCCACCGCCTCCTATTCAGTTGCAGTCTCTGATTGCTTCTGCCAACGTGAGTTCTGTTTTATGAATCGCCAATTTCGCATTTCCTACTGCTGACTTTACAGCGCCCAGCAGGTCAGCTTCGATCGAGGTACGTTTTGCCACCTCAGCTTTCTCAGTGCTCTTCTCCTGCTCCTCCGCTTTCGACAGAAGATAATTTAACAGAGTCGTCTACGCCCACTTCGCAGTTGGAGTCTTCCTTTTCGACAATGACAGTTCTCCCAACGCCTACTTACTTCGACTGTTCTTCATTGACTCAAACTCAGGAGGCAAAGCAATCTAATGATTGTTAGTTACGCTTTACTCTTTTTATTCATATTCGATATCTTTTAACCTCTGAATGCCTTCAAATCTGCTAGTCACTGCCCCAAAAGTGCCTTACGAACCTACAAAAGCTCACTGGTTTTACTCTACGAAAACCGTTGCTCACGGGATTATTTGGTGGCCGTTTGATATTGCTGACTCACAACGACTGGAGGCTGCGGCGACCTCTGCAAACCTCCTCTATGTGGATGCACTCTCAGTCGAAGCACCGAATACGGCTGTGCCGGTTCGAGGCGGTCTCTACGATGTCTTGCTGCGGGAGCGTATCTACAAGCCTGTCTACTGGCCAGCTGATGAAGAGGAGGCGGGAGAGGTTCGAAGAGTTATGTGGCTCTACCGGTGAGTCTTCCATTTTGCACAGGTTTCTCTTCGACTGAAACCTACGAAACGAAATTATTGCGGGGCATAGTAGACTACATAGAATGGTCGGAAGATTGGTGCCTTAGGTCGCTTAAGAATTCTGTCCTATCCTCAAGGTAAGCAAAGTTCGGAGGCCCGAAAAGTTACTTATCCTAGCCAGTTTATATTCTTTTCGACTCTAAGTTGCCTTGTTTCGTCCAATATGAGTTATGGGAATCAGAAAAATGCATGCGAGCCCAGAGGAAACCCAATTTGCAACGCGATTGTAGCTCCTAACTCTCAGCGGACATCGTGTAACATCCTTTTATGTACTTCTTATCATTTTCTGAAATGTTTTAAGGCACTTTTTTGTATCAGTAAATTATTTCAATTTGAATGGCATTATTTATCCACTGCTTAAGTTATTTTTCTAAGTGTTTCACATGTAAAGTTGGAGCTAGAGACTAGTGAAAGGGCATCATTTTCGGCGTCCTAGTCCTTGAATCTTATTGGGGAATCAGGTGCAGTCAATGAACGGTTGAAGTTAATGTTCCCTGGTTGTTGTTTATTACTGGATTCTGGAGATTGAAAGATGTAAACAGATTCGGGTATTACTATCCTATATTTGCACTTCCCTAACGGGACCCATTTTCAACTTTATTTACAACAAGACTAACTTTTTCCTTTTTCGTGGTTAAGGTTATGTTTAAACGTTTGCCCAACCTGGAGTTGCTCTGATTTCCCAAAAGGCAGTTTCATTAACTGGATGCATGAAGATCGCATGCATAACTGCGTCATCACAATTTAGATGTCATTATAGGGTCTTTCAGTGATAAGTGAAAAGTCTATTCTTTACCATTTGTGATTTGTCACTGTGTTTGACATCATTATTGTGTTGGAAATTGAGTTTGCGTACTTGGGTACGAATTTTCCTAAGCATTCAATACAGAAATCGCAACAAGTGTTTTGCGCGAATCGGGTTGTCCAATAGGGAGGTGCCAATCGTAGACATTTGAAGTGAGCATTGCCTTCTAGCCTTAAGGTAATATCTACTAACGCTACGGATTAATTACGCTGATGCTTTGTTACCAACACTCTTGCTTGATGTTATCGCTGCTTTGAAGTTATAATGCACACCAGTGAGCGAAAATCGAGAATAGATAGCACGTTTTACTAGCCTCAGTGAGAGAAAAGGAAAACAGACTGACGGTCTTTGAAACTTATTGGCTTTTGGCAATGCACGCCATATGAAGCTCATTAACCACTACGTTCCAGCCAAAGGTGCCGCAGACTAAAGTTTCTTTAAGGGAAGAATATTCTCCTCGGTTTAGAGCATCCATTGTTATCAGTTCATGTCCAAGATCACTCGAAAGGCTGGAATCTCTTTATTGGTTATAAGTTTTGTTACTGCACCTCTTGAATGCTTTGCGAAGTTCTACAGATTTGCGGCCAAATTTTGGTTTGTATAGCAATCATAGATGGATATAGCTGATTTATGCAAGTTATGCAATAGTTAGTTATGCAAGTTAGTTATGCAGTTAGTTATCGATAGTTATGCAAGTCTACTTGGACTTTTCGCCATTATTTACTTCTTATGTGCGTTAGTTCAAGGTTACGTTGGGGATTTATGCTTTTTTGGCATGGTTGGAGGCGGCGTTCCATTGATAAGGTTTCTTAACTTCCAATGTTACTAAACATTTATCGGTAGGCTTGGGAAGTTTTGTCGTTGGGGTCCCTTTACGTAACCGCATTACAAATATTCTCACGGGACGATGCTCCTCCATTCTCTGTAGAACGGGAATGGAAAACACCTCGGGCATCGGTTTTCGTGCATTCATTGTTCGTCGAATGCCTGGCACTTTGTCATGTTAGAAACTTTGAATAAGGATGTGAGGAAAAAATAAAATTTTATACGATTTTCTACCTTTGCTGCCTCCACAACTGGTAGCGTCATGACCTCTACTAAAAGATCTTTCCTGATGTTGCCCTTCAAAATCACGACGCGAGGAGAGTCAAGCATGTCTGGCTTCATGACATGCAGCTCCTCGGTCTGGTACTTGGTGCCTATGTCGCCCTTGGAAATGGTGTCATTATCATTATCTCAAATCCTGCCGAAAGGTCCGTTTGGAGTCGTTTTTACTAAATTTATTTGTAATCGTCTTTTCAATCAAGTCCGTCCTCTGGGCACACTGAAAATAATCAGAACCCAGATGTATCACCGCCACTATTTGTGTCTAAAAAATAAGCTAGTTAGGTATTTTCAGCTAACCTCTATTGACTGAAAGCAATCCATATGCTCGTCGTAGGTACTAAGGAGCGTCTCCTGTGTTGAGCTGGCATTAATTGTTAGTGCCTTGCTTTGAAAATTTGTTTGCATCTATCATAGCGGCTCATTCTCCCAACTCAATGCCATTAGGAGAAAGCTTTACTGTGGCAATATCCGGTGAAATATTTCGGTTAGTGGAACTGCGTTTCGCTGAAACTGAGGAGTCTATGCTCTTAGACGATCACATTTTGCCTTCACTGGACCACGATGAGTGTCAAGTGATCATGCTTTCGCCCTTCTTTTGGTGCAATACGGCAAATGGCATTGTTGACTAACTGTACGAAGATGGTCACAAATAGCAAACAAGGTGATTAGGAGACGTAGCGACAGGTGTTTTTAAGCTCTAATGTATTTCTTTTAGACCCCAAAATGAGCAACGCGTGCTGCCATTCTCTGAAACTCTGTCCAAGACTCTAGAGGAGCACTATAGACGTGCTTTGGAAACCAATATCTGGGGTGGACGCTTTTCCCTACCTTCTGAAGACGTGCCCAATGAAACTGACACTTACATCTTTCACAACGAGAAGGTAAATTGTGTTGGATTTCTGCTGTCTCGGACAAGTGATGTTCTGTTCGATGACTTTTTTGGTGTCAAAATTATCTTAGTCGCACAGGGCTGGGTGACGAGACCTAATGTCGACGTAGCAACTGACCTGTATTACTGCATAGACTCTTTGTGTTAGGTGTGGGAAATGATCAATCGCGAGGCTTAAACGAAAATAGCATGACAAGTAGAGTGCTATCCATTTAATTTTTATTAGCGGTATGCGTTGTGGGTGTAGGTGGACTTTCAGAACACCTCGATCTGTGATAGGCAAATCGGATTTATAGGGATTAGTGCTAATGGTCTGCGATGGCCTCCCAGATGACATTCATATTTAAAGGAAAAATATGACCTCAGAACTTCATAGAAAAGTACGTGTTACGCTTAACCCCAGTTTTGCTCATTGAAAAACATGAAATTGAACTCATCACGGTTGGAAAAGATTAGTCTATACAACCATTGCTGTATTGCTTATTTTATTAGTATTCCTGTAATGACGTTTGATTTTCTGAGAAGTAACTATATCATCAGCCGATCTTCTTATTTTGGACATGCTTGAGAAGCGAAAAACTTGCTTTAATGAGAAGCCAGCAACTTTTTAAAGTCCTAATCTCATTTTGTTTTTAGAGTTCAAATCCATTGTCACAGTTGGCTTGGTTGAGCAGTAACTGTCTTGACAACGGCATTGTATGTTTGGTCAGAGATGGGTCTATTTACTTCTTGAAGACTAAGCAATACTGAAATCCTCGATACTACGCGCAGGTGTACAAAACGCCTTCTTGAGAAATAATCGGGATGAATGGAGCTAGTGAATAATTTGGCAAGGAGGTTGTTCTCACAAAACTACACCTCCTACAGTTTCCTATGTCACCACAAATCTGGTCGACCTGAGGAGGCTTGTAATGTGCCTTTGGAAAGATTTACTGTTTCACCTCACTCCATCGTGGTCCCTTCTATTCGCCTTGCGGTAGTTCTCCGAGTGACTATTGTAGCCATTGTCTGGCTTTCGTTGGACAGATGAATGTTCAAAATGGTTGGTCGCACTGAATAGACAGTTAGGAAATGAAAATGGGTCAGTAAAATGAGTAACAGTAGATGTAGTCCTTTGCTTCCAGGACTGCAAATTTTAATGAAAGTGATTTTCCCAACGGAGTTCATGTCTTATTGAGATGATGGGTTACAGTGGTGATTACATCATGAAATATTTATTTCAAAACTTTGTGAACTTGATAGCTCATTGTTGAAGTCTTTGCTCAGACTTAACGAGGAAACTCTTA